GCATGTGACCTGTTCAGAAAAGAGCAAAGGAGCAGGGGCAGGTGCAAAGGCCCTGGGGCAGCGGCGCGTGTGACCTGTTCAGAGAAGAGCAAAGGCCCCGGGGCAGCAGGACCTGTTCAGAGAAGAGCAAAGGCGCAGCCGGAGAGCAGAGGGAGTGAGCAGGAGGAGGAAAAGAGGAGGGGGGCTGGAGGGGTCCCAGCCCTGCAGGGTACCGTGCAGACACGCCAGAGACAGAGCCCAGGGGAGTGTTGCCAGCAGGGACCCCCTTGGCACGTCCCGGGATGGTCCGCACAGCTCCCCCTTCAGCCCTGCAGCCTCCCCGACAGGATGTGGTGGCTCGGGTGCTGGGCCCGTGACAGTGGGCACATGGAGCGCAGCACGCCCAGGTCCGGTCCACACCTGGGTTTGGAAGGGTCGGCGTCCACGTGGCACACACAGAGCCTGGCCCGGGGTATTGCCAGGGGTGCTCCTGCGGGGAAAGGTGGAGGCCAGAACACTCCAGTGTCAGGGAGCGAGGGGCCGAGGGACGGATAGGAGTGAGGCCAGGCGCAGGGGCAGCATGCAGCCTTCAGCCCCAGATGGGTGTCCGCCCGAGCAACTCGGCGGTCACTCGGTGTCTCGGCGGCGGCAGCTGGAATGGAAACACCAGAGGCTGGCGGCTTACGAGCAACCCGAGCATTTCTCACGGTTCCGGGGCGTGACCGCCCGAGGCCCCGATGCTGGTGAACTCGGGGTCTGGTGCGGACCCACCTCCTGGATCACGGATGCCTGTCTATTCCGTGTCCTCACAGTGCAGAGGCCAGGGGGTTCTCTGGGGTCTCGTAAGGACGCTAATCCTGCTCGTGGGGGCCGCACCCTCATGAGCACATCCCCTCCCCAAGGCCCCACCTGCTAATCCCACCGCCTTGGGGATCAGGATTCAGGTATGAATTTCAGGGGGACACAGACACGCAGCCAGGCACTGGCCAGTGTGCGGGAGCGGTGGGGGGCGATGTGAGCCCGGGGGCCATGCCAGACAGGGACGGCAGCAGGGTCGGCCCCCTGCAGGGGTGTGGACAGCAGCTGGGCAGGAAGGGGGCTGTGGGGAGGCGTCCACGCTGTGCAGGATGCAGATGGCGGCCTGTGTGCACAGCACGTGCACCGCAGGGGCCTGAGGCTGTGGTCTCCTCGGGTGCAGAGGGGCCGCCTGGAGGAGGAAGTGGGACCTCAGGCTCCCCCGTGTGCACCTGGCAGTGGGGCAGCCCCCCAGCCTGGGTTCGCCTGTACTTCCCCGGCCCCAAAGGAAGCAGGGAGAGGTGAGCGAGGGGTGCGGGGGCGGGCAGTGACGGTACACAGCTGAGGAATGCAGCGTACCCCCCGGGGCGGCAGCAAGGAGCCCCCTGCAGGGGGCTGGGGGGGGAGAGGGCCGCTGCCTGGACCCCAGACCCGCCCAGGGGAAGCCTGCACCGTAAGCTCACCCCCAGGTGGTCCCAGGGCACCTGCAGACCTGAAACCAGGCCCCGTCCCGAGGCAGGACCCTTCCAGACACCCGTGCACACAGCTTATAGCAGCAAACCTTTTCCCAAACATGCATTTTACCTGTTTTCCCAAAAACACAAGCGGAGAGTAAACATTTTAAAGAAACTCTGATTGTGCTCTTCAGAATGGGTCCCTGATCCCCCCACCCCGGTGACCCCTGATGCCCTCAGGTCTAGAGAACATCCCTGCCCCGCTCCTCTCTCAGGGCGTGGCCAAGGAAAACGGCAGCCCCGCCAGTGACCCCTGGCATCAATCAAGCATCAGTCCGTACCAACAGCTTCAGATCAGGGTGACGCAGCGCGCACTCGGTATGGGGGAGTTTCTTGGCAAATGCAGGGGGGAGGCAGGCTGGGGTCCCAACTGCAGACACGGGGGCATCGACGGCCCAGCACGCCCACAGAGGCTCACTCACCCGAAGAGGGAGCGAACCAGGATCTACTCCGTCGCCCCTGGTTTCAGACTAAGCGCCCCTGGTTTCAGAGTAAGCGGACTGTCCTTTTGTCAAAGCCCAGCCAGGTAGACCCACAACAGATCAGGGGGCGGTCCCCACAATGACATCATGACGGCGGTCACCCAAAAAGGGGCTCAGGGCAGAACGCTGTCAATGACAGAGACCCAGAGAGACCCAGAGACACACGGAGACACCAACCTCCCTCCTTGCCTAACTGGTTACGTATAGGACAATGCTTCTGAGGTTCAAATATCCCATTCTTTCAGGATGTGTTCTCTATTCCTAGCCCACCCCGGTGGGAAACATAATAGCCTCACAACGAGGGGCACCTGGGTGGCTCAGTCGGTTAAGCGACTGCCTTCGGCTCAGGTCACGATCCTGGAGTCCCGGGATCGAGTCCCGCATCGGGCTCCCTGCT